TTTTTATTACTCCCTCCGTCCTATAATGTTCTTCCCGTTTGTGTTTACGATGTTTGATCGACTTCATTTTCAATTCAATTTATTTGATTGTAGGTGTAAAATTAAAAAATAAAATTTATATATTTAAAAACTACATCAAAAGTTCTACAAAATAATTGATGACAAGACTATATTATTAAATCACATACTTAATAAAAATAGGTAAAGAAAATGATTAAAGCTTGACCGTGTGAAAAGTAACATTTTAGGACGAAGGGAATACAATCTATATTTCTCTTAGTTCTCGATTATATTATTTTTGTTTATTTATGTATTTTCATTGATTATTTGATAAAATAAAATATTTTTATCACCTCTTATTTTGTAGAATTTTTGACGTATTTTTTAAAAATGTACTTTTATTTTTTATTAATTTAATAATTTGTAAATAAAATGATTTAAAAACATACTTGATTTTACCTCGTAAATCCCAATTTGTACTCAAATTTGGAACGAAGAGATTTACAAAAGAATTTAACAACTTTTAAAAGTAACAAACAGAAGTAAACAAAAGGAGAGGACATCTACTTATTTAACTACGTTTATTTTATTATTATTCTTTTAAAGTCCTAGATGGACAAATTTTTATGAAAAAAAACATCCTTTTCAACCGTGGCCAAATTGTGTCAACATCCATTTCATTTTTTCATAAATATTTTTAAAAATCTCAAAAGAAATCACTCTAAATAGGATTAAGATATAAAAAAAATACTAAAATAGAAGTTCATGCTGTGCTAATATTGCATTGTACAGGTACATTTTACATAATGTACATGGTCATGATTGGTAATGTAAATATATTTTAACTCCTATTTCAAAAAAAATATAAAAGTTCTATTTTTATACTCCCCCGTTCTAAAATTAACTTCTGACTTTTGCAGTCAAACTTTTAAAACTTTGACTGTATATTACGAAAAAAATACATTGAATTTTCATATAAATTTATTATCAATATATTTATTTTGAAATATAATTTTGAAATATATTATTTTTATAATATATATTCATATAAAAATGGAGATATTAATGGTCAAAGTGTCGCATTAAAAACCGTGAAAAGTCAAATGAGAAGTTAATTTTAGTCTATTTTTAAAATCTAGACACTTAGAGGTTATTTGAGAACAACATTTTCTCGACTATGCTAAAAACATAAATTGTATAGAACAAAGAGTGACTAGAAGTAAATAAATACCAAGTGAGTACAAATTAGGGTGCAAATATTTAAGTAAATTTAGGATTTAAAAAAAAAGAAAGGCTAGTTTAAATTAGGAATGATAGAACTGATTAATACGGAGTAAAATAAAATTACCTAATAAGCTCTTTCTGAAGAGCGGCGCCTTGCTTTGTCCGTCTATGCGACGTCGCACCGAACCCGGTGGTGACGCCATAGCTATCAGTCCCCTTCTCCATTCCTTCCATCACCCAATCGCTGCTCGCCTTCACGCCGCCCCTGGCCGCCTCCGACAACTCCACCCTCACCTCCGCCGCCCCCCGCGCGGCAACCGCCGCCACCTGGCCTATCGTCAGCGACTCCCCTCCCAGACGCACCGTCCCCCTCCTGTAATCCTCCACCATTCTCTTCACCTCCTCTAGGTGGCTCCCCTTCATCGCCTCCGCCGCCGCGTCCCAGTTCAACGGGTCCCGCCGCGCGCAGAACTCCTGCGAGTGTCCGTTTCCGTTTTCCATTCCGATCGGCGCCGGCGCGGCGAGGATCAATCGAGAAATTCTGGCTGGAATTCTGGAGAAGGAAGGGGGGGTTAGGAAATTGGCTTTGGCTGAATTTCCTGAATTTCTAAGGCTCCGGGAAATTGGTGTTTAAATAGAGAGGAGAGAGAGAGAGATTTGGGATTTTTGAGTGTTGGGTGAGGAAGCCAATGTGGCAATGTGTTAGTTGAGATGTGAGGGTGGCCGTTGGATCTCCAACCTCCGTACACGGCCACGATACCGACACGTTGATCAAAGCTAGATGTGCATGGAAAAATTGGACTCTTTTTGAGTTTTGACTATACGCATCTTTGGCATTAGCGTTAGAGATTAACGTTAACGTTTTTAAAAAGATATCTTACGATAGTTTTTAGCATTATGCTATTAGCATTATTGGAATTAATCTACATTATTAAAATTTGGTGAAACTTGTCATTCCTAGACATCTTTTGGCATTAGCGTTAGAGATTAACGTTAGCATTTTAAAAAAACTATCTGACGGTAGACGTCTTTAGCATTATTAGAATTAATCTACATTATTAAAATTTTATTCAAAACGCTAACGCTAATCGAAACAGTTGTTTTCAAACAAGGCCTATAACTTATAAGTAAAAATGTTGCTATAGAGAGACATACATAGACATCAATTGTCTATGCGAAATAGAGATAGTTAATATTTGTATATGTTTATGACAAGCTTTATATACACAAGCTGAGGTACTCCTAGCAAAAAATCAATTTAGAATTTGATAGGATGCACACTAATTTTTTTATCAAAGTAAATTGATGTAACATTTTGGTGAAGAGGATAACATCACTCCTTACAAATATTGTAGATCGCAACTTCAATTCTCGTGCTACAATGACTACACTATCTTTTGTGCCAACTTCAAAAAAAACAGCAACTCTAAAAGGCCAAAATAAAAATATCTCCAAACAAATAAGGTTTCTTACCTAGTAAAATTCAAACAAATATATTGATTTTTATTTTGTCAAAAGATCATCTAACACTACAAAACTAACATTTCACATAATAAAATCTGGGGAGAATGTGCGTATGTAGATTTTTTTATTGTGTATGAAGTATGTATACTTAGTTTTGACTAAACTGGAATGTGAAAGTAAGCAACGAAATAAGGACGAACGGACTATACAAAAATGACGATGTGTGTGCATAACATTTGAATGCAAAACATAATTTGCAAAACCAGGGGAATAAGTCAATAACATCAACCTTTTTTTCTTCGGAGTACATAATTAGCTTAGACAAAATTTTAATCAAAGCCAACAACAATGATTACCATAGAAAAACATTAAATTACAAAATATTTTTCCTACAAGATATTTATCTTTAAATTTGGCGAGGCAGTTTGGGAATATTGGGGATGTTGTAAAGATGATCAAAGATAAGCAGTGAAATATTTGCTTGACAATATAGGTTGCATGCTACAATGGCATTTGGAGGTCTAGGAATGGCAAGTTTCACCAAAAAGAGATCAAAGAATGAAGAACTATAGATTTTATAATTTTCCATTTTTAATTTGGGTAGTTTCTTTGTTTAATACTCCCTCCGTTCCACAAAACCCTTCCGATTTTGAGAAAAAATAAGAAAAGTGTAATTTTGGTTGACTTTTCAATTTTGTCCCTGATGTGATAGTTTGGTTATTAGTGATAAAGAATGATGTGATAGGTAGGGTATGAAAAAGTAGGGGTAAAAATGGTTTTTTAATAGAAAGTGAAAGTGTTTTGTGGAAAGCAAAAAAAAACGAAAGAGAAAGGGTTTTGTGGAACGGATGGAGTAAAAGGCAACTATGTAAAAGTTGTTTACAGTTTGTAGAAGTGTGGCTATTTTTTGCTAACTTGAGTCATATAACTTGTGCTTTTAATTCAAAAAAGAAATCTATTCTTTCGTTTTAGTTAGTTATCCTACGATGCAATAATTTTCAAGCTTTCTTCAAAGCTTCAAATATTAACTCAATCGTTGATTTTAAAGAAATGTGGCTCTGCAATAACAGTTAAAATTTGTGCTGGGGACAAAATGTTTTTTTAAATATAAATTTTATCATTAATTAAGTTTCTATTGATATGCACTCAGGCGATCAATCATGTTGTATAGTGCCAAGTGATGGGCATTTAAAAAATTTACACTCATCTGCAGCATGCTAGATCAGAGGTATGCGCTTGTTGCGGTGGATAAGTGAAAAGATGAGGATATATAAGATTAGCAACAGTGTAATCCGAGGGCGGATAGGAGCGGAATCAGTAGAGGATATGCTGCGAGAAGCTAAGTGATTTGGGCATGTGAAGCGGTAGAGGATATAACCTTAAATAGAAACGTTAGGAAAGTTATTATGATTTTGGATAGACGTCATGAGCTTGAATTGGTGATAGTTTTTGCACGTGTTATTGTGTTCTTTTAATGCTTGATGCCTTCTCTTTGTCTTGGTTTTCTTTTGTTAATACAAGTTTGTTCTTTACATTTTGTGCTCTGTGCTTTCTTTGTTTTATGTGTCTTCCGTGAGTTTGTGTTATATATGTTACTTGAGTAAGAGAGCTCTTACAAAAAAATATATTCCTACTTTCGGATAATTAAGAGTAAAATCTTTGTACACGTAGAAATGAAAAAGTAAGACCAAATTTGAGTATCTGACTAGACTTAGTTGTCAACCTTCTTGTTTTCATTTGTCCGAAAGTAGTTGTCAACTTTTTTTATTCAATAAACAAATTCTGATAAATTGTCTAAAATATCAAAGTTGAATGACAAATTCATTTAAAGAACATATTTAATAATTTATACTTAATTCTTAAGAATAAGATTTTTTTTAAATGAAGGTCCTGATCGAATTGCAGTCTTTTCTTCTTTTTTTCTTCTCTTCCCTCCGTATATTTTATTCTCCAAGCTGAAGATTGATCTAGTTTTTAATGACTTTCATCAAAACAATAATGCAAGTAGATTGCATTTTTTAAAATTAAAAAAGATTGTTCCGTGTTTTACTTACATATTGGCATATTGCGATCGGCATAATTCCAAGCTCTCTGCATCTAGAGTTGTAGGGTGCACATTTGCGGTGTAACGATATAAATATGAGACAATTCTAGGAGTAATGACGTAAATTAATGAATTTGGGAATATGTATGTAAAATCGTGAATTCTTGGAAGCATTCGTGTGATTTTTTCCAAAAATAAACCAAAACGCTAATGTTAATTGAAAGTGTCGTTCCCAAACGAGGCCAGCAAATTTGACTGTCACATCTTCTACCAAACAGGCAATTTGTTCAAACTTGCTAGAGACAACAGTACATTCACCAAAACATGTAAGAATGCCCTGATCAGTTTTGTTATGTTTTGGGGAACTAATACACAACCTTTAAACCGTAGTTAGGTATTAAGTATTATTTATACCAACCCTCAACTCTCTGTGCAGTATTGTCCACTTGATATCAACTATGATAATGAACCACATACCATCCTCAAAACTCATCCCTGATTCCAAAATCATGCTAGAAAATGAAACAATAAACACCATTAAGAACTCACCATTAGCCAATAACCTTTACACAAACGAATAAGCACGGTAAATCGAATGCAAGCGAAAACTATGAGGAGTAACGGGTAATCGATATTATTTCTAAGATGCATTCCAAACAAACAGAAAATGTAAACATTCTGTTGAGCATGCAATTCACTCCAACATTCATACCAAGCAGATGTGTTGTGTATATATATATACATACCTCTAGGTTTTATAATCTTGAGAGGATTGGTTGTATTACTCGTCTCCCAATTCCAGTTCAACGATCTCGGTTTCCTGCTCTTTCTAACAAAAGATGACTTTTGTTAACTCACGAACATTTTATTTTTCCTTTTGTAAGTTCATCCTTGAACCTGTTATAGGTAAAAATATCTGGTATTAACCCCTTTTCCAGCATCTCATCCAACAAGATCTCCCCTTCTTTCCTTTTACCCTCCATGGCAAACCCTTGAATCAAAACACTGTAAGTCACTGCATCAGGCTGCAATCCCTTAGGAGAAGCCAAGAGCCTCAACTCATTTGCTTCCCGTGATTTCCCTTCTTCACACAAGCTACTGATGAGACAATTGAATGTCACACCATCCGGAACTATGCATTCGGTTAGCATATCCGATGCGAGCTTAGATGCTTCTGGAGTCCGTCTTTCTTTCCTCAGCCCTTCAATTAAGATTGTACAAGCAATTACGCTCGGAGGGTTCCCCCGGCCCCATAGCTCGTAAACCAACTCCATTGCCCGCCCTCCGTTCCCTTCGCCGCATAGCCTCTCAACTATGGGAGAGTAATCAAAATCGCGAGGCAATACACCTTTTCTTGAAAAATCCATGAGGAGATCACGAGCACTCGCGATCATCCCCTTTCTACAAAGCCCGTCGACCAAAATCTCACAAGTCACACTTGATATCCCATGTCCCAATTCAATCATCTCGCACGCCATGCCAATCCCCTCCTCAATCTTGTCTTCCATTAGGAATCTCTTGATCAGAGTGTTGAAGCTGATGATGTTTGGGACACAGCCGTGGTTTTTCATCTCCTTGAACATCTGCAAGGCCAACCCTAGCTGGGAATTTCTGCAATGCCCACTAATCAAGGTGTTAAACGTAATCACATCGGGTTTAACTCGATCCTTGATCATTCTATGATAGAATTCAATAGCCTTATCATGATGCCTGAACTTAACAAATCCGTGGATCACAATGTTATACATAGCTGCTTCGGGCTTACCGTCAATCAACCGCTTCATAGTGTCGAATGCAAGCAGAGCATCGTCAAATCTGCCGGATCTGCAGAACGCATTGATTGCGAAACGGAAGATCGGTTCGGTTCTAGGGCAGGAGAAGATGCCGTCGGCGCAGGGGCAGGGGTTGGCGGCGATGAACTGGAGGAGGGACGAGAGGGAGTCGAGGCGGTGGGAGATGGCGAGCGTGCGTGACATCCATTCGAAGGTGGAGTGGTCGTGGCGGAAGGAGTCGACGGTGGCGGCGCAGCGGAAGAGGTGGAAGTCGAGGTGGGTGAGGGTGGGGTGATGGTGGATGCGATTTCGGAGAAAGGAAAGAAGATCGTTAGGGGTGAAGGAAGATGTTAGGTGCGTCTTGACTAGGCGGGTCAGCTGTGTTTGGGTGGCTGCCGGGAGATTCCCGATGGCAGGGTCGAGAACTGACAGCGGCAGTTTATGCGGCGGAATTAGGTTGTGAGCGGCGGCGGCGGTTTTAGGTAAAAGTCTCGTAAGTTTCCCGGGAGCCATGTTTTTCACTGCCGTCATCGCGGTTTAGATAAAAAAAGAACTGGGGCAAAGAGAGTAACGTCATGTTGTTTTCTAGATTAGAATAAATTTTAATATGATTTAATCTGATTTGGATGTAATTATATTTAAAAAAATTTCTAATCTGACTTGGTCTTATATGATTTTGAAAAAAATAAGTTTGGAAAACATGTCATGACTTTTGTCTTGCCAATTGTGCAAAATCAAAATTTTGGAAAACAAACTTTTTATATTAGCCGGCACATTCCATCCCACCACTTATATTCTGCAACACCACCTCTAAACCCAGCCGGTATGGATAGATCAATTGGTCCATGAAGAGGATGTCAAGTCCAAAAATCTTATTACCGAATCTTGACAGCGGTAAAGTGGTAATTCTAGCTACTCTTTGCAAAAGCTTCTTGTGGACACCAGGCACAAGGTGACCTCCCTAAAAACAAATTAAGATTATATCCTTATTTACCTCTCTCATTTTCGAGGTCCAGTCCTGAGAATTCACATGTCTGTGCCAAAAACAGAAAAAAGGTTCTAAAAATCTTATTCCTAATTATCTAACAAATTAACATATGTAAACTAATTATATTTAAATGATAATTAACGCAATATTGTTAGGAAAAGAATAATAAAATTATGGTATTATAATTACATACCTTAAAAGCTAGCCGAAGATTCGAGAAGATCTCTTTGCATTATTGTGAGTCTTCGCAGTCTATACTCTATAAAATTCGAGTTCTCCTTGCATTTTTTTTCTTTTTTGATTATCGGATAATTGTTTAGGAGCAATAACTTTTGAATTATTTCTGAAATAAAATCCAAATACATAAGTTCTAATACTGAGTAAAATCAAATATGAAAAAACAAGCGAATAAATAAATATATCATAAAATCATGTCAATTCGTCAATTTTTATTCTTTTTATTTTTTTCTTTTTTAGTTTTAATTTTTTTACAAAGCATAAATTCAGATCAATTCGTTAATTTTTCAGTTTTCAAATTTTTTTATATAAATATATCATAAATAACAAATTCAATCAATTCATCCAAATCAAATAAATAAATATAGAACCTTTAATTCATTCTATTTCAAAGAATAAAATTAGAAAATATTTCAAATTAAAAAATAACAATTAACCCTAGATTTTAAATCTAAAAAATGAAACAATGAAAGAAAATTAAGAAATAAAAATTATAAAATTGGAAAGGTATGAATATGGAATACCTGGAGGCTGGAGGTCGGCGTCCGGCGGCGTCGTGACGTCATCTGTCGTAAACCGTCAAATCGGTTCTCCGTTCTTCTTCGGCTTCTTCCCAAATCGGCTTGTCGGCAATTTTTTTCTTTTGTCTACGCGCTAAGAAGAAATAGGAGATGTGGACTGGNTGACAAGACCGACTCAATAGGGAGACAAAGTGTCTATCTGAACCACCGGGTCCAAGTACTTAAGAAGCACAAATTTTCTTTTTAAGTATTATATATATATATATATATATATATATATATATATATATATATATATATATATATATATATATATATATATATATATAATACTTAAAAAGAAAATTTGTGCTTCTTAAGTACTTGGACCCGGTGGTTCAGATAGACACTTTGTCTCCCTATTGAGTCGGTCTTGTCATTATTCTATCATACCAGAGTGTAAGGACGCTCGGGATGGGCATCCCAGCTTTTAAAGTTGGGTTTAGAGGTGGGGGTGGGTTCTCTCTTCATCATGCACCTACCTACATGGAGGCCATCTCACGGTCACCCCTTTCCCCCCTTACCCTCCGGTCTAAACACCAAGTGGTTAGACATAAAAGAAAATGCGCTTATCAAATTGAACAAGTGATTATGTGCACGTGCGGAACAAGTAACCATCACCAATTACTCAATTAGACCATTGTTACGTGCCGCTGGACTATTTTGACGTCCTGACTTTCAACTTATGCGGCATCCTTGTTTTTTTCACAATAATAAGAGCATCTAATAATTACTAACTCCGAATGATTTATCTGCATTTCTAATTGTTACACACAAAAACTATGTATAAAAATTATACATGCACTCTGTTTGGTCTATAATGCTTTAATGAAATTATTGTACAAACTGTAGATAAGACAGAAATTTTGAGTCTAGCATTTGAAATTCATAACTTCAAAAAATAGAATCTTTGGTATTTATACAAAAAATTGAAACCCAATAGGGCTAATACTATGATATTCAACGACGAAAAATACATTTCTACATTCTTTAAAGGAGCTCACCTTTTCTTGTTTTATATTTTCAAATTAAAGTAGTTCACATTTTTCTTGTTTTCGTCCATAAGAAAATAAATAAATAAAACTCGCAATTATTATATACTCCCTCGATCAAAGTTGAAATTTCTAATTTTAACTTGACATAAATTTTAATGTAATGTTACATTTCAACTACGTCTTCACATATTGATGCAGTCGACAACCAGCCTCTTCTCCTCCAGATATGAAGCCGCCCTTTCTCCTCTAAAGTCTAAATCTAAAACCAACACATCTACTTATTAGTCAACACTGCCACCCCTTCCCCTCAAGATTCGAAGCCGCCCCTTCTTTACGAGATCTAAGCTACCTCTTCTCTTCAAGAAGAAAGGTAGACCGATGGGGGAGGGGGGCGGGGAAAAAGAAGAAGAAATTGGAGAAGAAGAAATAAGGTGGGTGGAGAGAGAGCAAAGGAAGAAAGGAATTAGAGGGTAAATTAGTCTTCTTGGTATTATTTATTTGCCAAATAAAGAAATGAGAATAAACAAGTGAGACGGTTCAAAAAAGAAAAGCGAGAAAAAGATGTACTCCGTGTGACGGAAGAGATAATCAATATCTTTACAAGGTAAATGTTTTTTTACGTGAAATGGTTGATATATTGAGTGTAAAAACTAAGCCGATAACCTATAACTTTTGAGCTTGGACCAAGTTAGCACCCATTGAAAAACAAAGACCAATGACGTGGATCCCAGTTCGTGAGAATTTTTTGTAAAAAAAAATACTCCTTACGTCTCTCAAGGTTTCTAAGTAATTATTCATTAATTATTTAATAAAATAAAATAATTTCTCATCATTTATTTTGTAAATTTTTTGAAATAGTTTTAAAATATGTGAATTTTATTTTCTATTATTATAGTAATATGCATAAAAATTGAATTGAATATAAGTGTGATCAAATACGAAATACAAATAGTATGTTTGGAAACATGGATTTGGATTTCGAATCCGGATTTGACTCAAATTTCAAGTTTGGGAATCTTACAAATTTTGAATTTGGATTTGAATCAAATTCTTCATAACAAAGCTTAATTTTAAATTCATGCGCATTCCTTATCATTTGAAATTCAGTATTTCAAATTTTAGAATTGAATTAAGGTGGTGTTTGGCAACTAGCATTTCATTTCAATTCCAAAATTTGAAATCTTGAATTTCAAATGACAAGGGAAGGTGCATGAATTTCAAAATAAGCTTTGTTATGAATGAGAAAAATTTGACTCAAATCCAAATTCAAAATTTTTAAGCTTCCCAAACATCAAATTTGAGTCAAATTCGAATTTGAAATCCAAATTCATGTTTTCAAACATACCATAACTGAATTGAAATGAAATCTTAATTGTCAAACACTAACTAATAGAAGTATAGAACTGAATTATTGAATTAACAATAAATGCAAACTTTTTATTCAAGCACACCTCTAATGACAACCCACTCCCATTGACGAAAGGATGGCAAACCATAGGACTCCTACTCTTCATTGGTTTCGTTCTCAAAGACTCCCTCCCTCCCTCAACAACTTTCCCCTCTGCGTAAAATGCATTTTTCTGACATTTTCTTTTCTCCACCACTCTCTTGAATTCCCCGCTCCACTTTCTCCATTTTCTTTTCTCTGTAGATCCAATATATAATACCACGGAGGGCAAAGTAAAAACAAAAACTTTAAGAAAAGAAAAGAAAAGAAAAGGGAAAAGAAAAGCTTTTTCTTCTTTTTTTCCTTTTCTTATCCTCAAAAAGATTCATTCATCAGGTCCTGGAAGGGAAAAAAAAGAGAGCTTTTTCATTGAATCTTGAAGGGCTTTTGCAGTACCATGGGGAGCAAATGGAGGAAAGCGAAGCTGGCTCTCGGATTGAATCTCTGCACTTATGTCCCAAGAACTCACGTTGAAGACGACGTCGACGCCAAGGCGCCGCCGCCGCCGCTCTCCTCCCCGCACGCCGACGGCGCCCTTCCCTCTGCTGCCCCTCCCGGCTCCCACAGCTTGAAGCTTTCTAAAAGCTTGAGTAGATCTTCAAAGGTTGCTTCTTGTGCTGTATATTTTGAATGTCTTAAATTCTAATTAATTGCTAAATTGCTTTGTGAGGAATGTTCTGATTTGGTTAACCCAATATTTTAATTGGGTTGAAGTTGGGGATCTAAGGATTGCTTTTATTTTATTTTGTTTTCTTTTTTTTCAAATATCTTTTCTTTGATAGAAATTCCTGTTTTTCCTCTATACAAATTTATGTGGTAAGTAATCAGTTGAACTTGGGCTTTTTAATTGTGGAGTTGGTAACAATGGGCTGATTTTATTTCTCTTGTTTGCTGTTGATAAATTTATATATTATAGAATTTCATCTGGTAAGTAATTAGTTGAATTTGGTCTTTATAATTGTGAAGTTCTTTCAGACTTCAGACACATATACTTAATCAACATATAGAACATATTGTTTGTATTTTCCTCACTTTAGCCTATATATAAAAGTGCATTTTCCTGCTCTTCTTGTGTTTAACTATTATCTCCTTTCTGCAATATTTGTGGTTGGAGAAATGAACAAGACCCAAAGCTTATATAGTGTTTTTCTTGTAATGTTCCAAAATGTGTTCCTCTTCTTGTTATTGGTTCATCTGTTGATTAGCTTAATGAGAAAAAAATGCAGGAGAACTTGTATAATTTGTATTCAGCCCTGCATTGTAGGATTTAAAGGCGTGGTTCTTTTAAGTTACATTACTTTTGTTCTTTAAAGGCATTGATTCGATGCTTTTTGGAATGATTTTTCTCACGATTTTATTTTGTTTCTCCAGAAGATATGTTCAATATGTTTGGCTACAATGAAGCGGGGGAATGGCCACGCTATATTCACTGCCGAATGTTCACATTCCTTCCATTTCCATTGCATCGCTTCTAATGCGAAACACGGAAACTTCCTTTGCCCAATTTGCAGAGCAAAATGGAAAGAAATTCCCTTGCAACGTCCTATCTTGGATCTTCCTATTCCGGGAAAGCCAAGAGTTTCGCTGCCTCCTCGTTTGAATCAAAACAGGAATTTTGCGCCGTTACTTCACACTTCTGAGCCAACTGTCTTTGATGATGATGAATCTTTGGGTGTTTTTCCCCTTCAACAACCTTTGCCGCATAATACAGAAGGCAGAGTGATAAAAATCAACACATACCCAGAAATACCTTCAGTTTCAAGGTTCCATTCTTGTGATAAATTCACAGTCTTGGTCCATCTCAGTGCTCCCAGTTCAATTCTTGGTCGAAACCCACACCGTGCGCCCGTTGATCTTGTCACGGTCCTTGACATCAGTGGCAGCATGGCGGGGACCAAGCTCGCTCTCCTAAAGCGGGCCATGGGTTTTGTGATACAGAACCTGGGCCCCGCTGACAGGCTGGCAGTCATTGCCTTCTCCTCAACATCAAAACGCCTTTTCCCGCTCGGAAGGATGTCTGAAGGGGGAAAGCAACGAGCACTCCAAGCGGTTAACTCTCTGGTCGCGAATGGGGGCACGAATATCGCCGAGGGCTTGAGGAAGGGTTCCAAGGTAATGGAAGACAGGAGGGAGAAGAACTCGGTCTCCAGTATAATACTGTTATCTGATGGCCAAGACACGTATAGCGGGACCCAGCACTTCCCAACTTGTAGAATGATCCCCGTACACACTTTCGGGTTCGGTGGGGACCACGATGCTTCGTCAATGCATTCGATTGCAGAGGCATCTGGAGGCACATTTTCTTTCATTGAAACCGAAAGTGTGATCCAGGAGGCATTTGCTCAGTGCATTGGGGGGCTTCTGAGTGTTGTGGTGAAAGAGCTTCGTTTGGATATTGATTGCGTTCACCCGGGAGTCCTTATCAGATCTTTAAGAACGGGTAGTTACCCAAACAGTGTCTTATCTGATGGAAGAAAGGGATCTATTGACGTCGGGGACCTATATGCTGATGAAGCGAGAGACTTTCTGGTTACAGTCAATGTCCCTACCGAACAAAACAACGAAACTTCATTGTTGAAGGTGAGGTGCGCGTACATGGATCCATTGACGAAAGAAACCATAAACAACAGAAGTGAAGAAGAAGTTAGGATAAAGAGACCTGAAGAAAATTTAAGAGAAGCGGTTGTGTCGATAGAAGTGGACAGACAAAAGAACAGACTCGAAGCATCCGAGGCGATGGCGGAAGCGCGGGCCACCGCCGAGAAAGGTGACCTGGTGGGGGCCGCCTCGGTTCTCGAGAAATGCAGAAGGGCACTATCGGAAACAGCGTCGGGTAAATCTCGAGAAGACCTGCTTTGTTTAGCACTCGATGCCGAGCTCAAGGAGATGCAAGAGCGGTTGACGAGCCGGCACGTGTACGAGGCATCGGGAAGGGCGTACATTCTGTCGGGGATGAGCTCGCACTCGTGGCAACGGGCCACGGCCCGCGGGGATTCCACGGACATGTCTAGTCTTGTTCGGGCTTATCAAACCCCATCCATGGTCGAAATGGTCACCAGCTCTCGGGCCACTAGCCCGTCGCCTTGGAGGCTCGTTCGTCCGACGTGGGGCCCGAGGTCACAGCCTAAGCCCAGGTAACATTTGGCATGAAGGCTGAAGTTTCACAGAACAACACAACACAACATTGTAGTTTGTAATGCTTTTGAGCAGTTTTTTTTTTTGGCTTTTTATTGTTTGTTTAATGTGGTGTGGGGGGTAAATAAAATCCTTGAACAGAAAAAGGGGGAAATTTTGTGGGAAAATGTAATGAAGGGTAAACTTAGTTGATATGGTAAATGATGTTTAGTTTTCTGTTCTTGCTGGTGGGGAATGTACATACAATTTGTTGCAATTTCATGCTTCTGTTTTGTGTATAGCTCCTTTTTCTTTAATACTTCCTTTGTCCCAACAAAAAAATACTTCATCTTTTAACTTGTAACGAAAAAGTACTCGATCTTTAAAAAAATATAACAAAAGGATACGCTTTGCCAAAATTTTGAAAATCTTGTTGTGGACGTTCTCTTGGCTTCCTAGTGTACATGTGAATTTCATATGATTTTCAAATTAACTATTAATTTATCTTATATGTAATAAATTTTGTACTTGACAGATATAAAGTTAAGTTTCAAATTCCATTTTTTTTCAAATCTAACGCTATTCTTTCTAGAATATATTTTTTTAAATTTTAGCATTTTGAAATATTTTCTAATTTACAAAATATTTTAAACCAAACTAGCAATTACTTTTTAAATAATTGTCTATATTGTAAATTAAAGTGAAAAGTTTCTTATTTATTTAAGTTTTAAAATACTTATAAATTTTTGGAGTTAAGATTTAAATCGATTAATAAACACGATGTTGCATGAACGTCTATTTAAAATATATACTTAGATGGCTTATAAAAACTCTTTTAATAATGATGATTGTCGTACGAGTAATAATAATAATCATAGAAATATGTATTCAAGTAATTGATCCTATCCCTCCCCTCAAATAATGCATCCTATGTCCACACTAATCCGCTAATACCTTAGCAAATACCATGTCAAAAACTTTCGTTGTGGAAAAATTGTTTGAGTTTAGCGTTTTGGATAAAATTTTAACGGTGCAGATTACTTTGGAAACGCAAACGCTAAATACTGTCCGTAGATAGTCTTTTCAAAACGCAAACGCTAATCTCTAACGATATTCCTAAATGAGATAGAGTTTTAAATTGAGAACGAAAATAGTGATTGCTTTTTCCTCTAAAACATACTGTAATAATATGATCGTTCCAATCTTACAAAACTGACCAAAAGATGTAATGATTTAGTTTGTCTATTGACAAATGCACCATTAGTGGGCTTAGAGCACTGGAAATGATCATGAAACCCCGGGGCTTCAAATTCTCTCTCTCTGCCACGTCAGCTTTAACTTATACCAAAAATTCACGGAAATGGTTTTGAAGCCCCGGGGCTTCAAACTGGGGCTCCAAACCTTCATTTTTTACATTTTTAAATATACATCTTCTAAATTTAAATTAATAAATTTAAATTAATTTATTATTTTAATTAATCGCAATGAGACTAGTGCATTAAAAAAATTACATTCATTAAAAAAATCTTACATTCATAAAAAAACATTCATAAAAAAATTACATTCATTAAAAAAATATTACATAAAAAAACGACAATACAAAGAAATCACTAATTATTCGAACGACTAAAGATATGCTCGATCAAATCCGCCGTTAGTGCATTGTGAATCTCTCGGCTTCGAATTTCTTGGCGGTTGCGTCGTTTCTTTTCTTCGGTGATTTCTTCGTACAAGGGCACCTCCTCGTCCGGGTTGTATTGACAAATCGCACACCCGTTATCCTCTATGATCATATTATGAAGAATAATACATGCGTACATGATATTCTCATTTTTGTTTGAGAATAATATTTCGACGGACGATCTAGAATGTGTCACTTAGCCTACAAGACCCCAAAGGCTCGTTCAATATCTTTTCTTGCCGCCTCTTGAGCTTTTTTGTAGGTCTGACGTTTAAGACCCATTGGTTTGGAGAGGGATTTGAAAATCGTGGAATAATCGGGATATATTCCATCGGCCAAATAATATCCACGCTTGTAAAGCGTCCCTCTAAGCTCAAAAGAGGATTCCGGTGCGGTCTCATTAACCCAATCGTCAAAAACAGGGGATTGATCGAGAACGTTGATGTCGTTGTTCGAGCCCGCGACACCGAAAAAAGCATGCCAAATCCACAAGTCATTCGAAGCAACAGCTTCGAGCATGATGGTAGGCTTGGGATGATCTCCCCGGGAGAATTGACCGTGCCACACAGTGGGACAATTTTTTCATTCCCAATGCGTGCAATCAATACTCCCAAGCATGTCGACAAAGCCGTGTTTAGCGGCATGCCTTGCTTGCAACTGCTGGATGTCGCTCGCTGTAGGCTTGCGTAAATATCTTTTATGATAAATTTGAATAATAGCTTTTGAAAATTTATAAACACAGGACCTGATGCTCCGAGCCGACATCTTCAAGTATTCGTCGAACATATCGGATGCTATCCCGTACGCCAACTGGCGGAGCGCGGCAGTGCACTTCTGGACGCTACTAAACCCGCGTCGGCCTCTCGCATCAAACCGTTGGGTGAACCAAGGAACCTCGCGTTCAACATCGGCGAGTATGCGTAAGAAGAGAGGACGACTCATCCGAAAACGATTACTAAAATCCTCCGGTGTATAAACACACAGATTATTAAAGTAGTCGTTTAGAAGTGAATCGTGGGCGGCCGCTCGATCCCGGTTTAGACGTTGGCGTCGGGTCCGTCGTCGGGAGGATTCGGCTTCTTCTTGGCATCTTTCCACCATTGAATACAATTCGTCGCGAAACAACGAAAAAATAAAGCTCTTCTTTCATCGTCGGAAGATGAACCCATTTTTAAATTATATTTTATAAATATTTATAATAAATAATAAATATTTTAGAGAGAATATAAAGTAATAAAGAGAGATATGTGAGAGAGAGGTGTGAGAAAGATGTATGAGAAATGGGGATTTTATAGGTTTTTTTTTTAAATTTAGAATTTTTTTTAATTTGGGGGGGGTAACGGCTATATAGCCGTTGGGAAGGGGAGAGCCGGTGAAAAAATGCAGTAACGCCGCGTCAAACTAATGACGCTGGTGAACTCACGCCCGTGTCACGCCGAGAGGGGCGGTGTTTAACGCCCCCGGCGTTAAACACCCCTATCACGCGCCGGTGGGCGTGAGGGGTATTACCATTCCTCTTATATTGTTTTTCGTTTTGATGGTCAAGGCCCATTAAACAAGCATAAGCCCAAAAGCACTTCACACAGTCAAAATGGAAACAAAAGTCGCCCCAATGGCAGAGACGACTCAGACCAACAAAGCACTACTGACGCAGAGACTCTTCCCAAACAATGGAAGCTATGGCGATGCGGCTTCGATCGGCCATAGCTATTTCTCTCCTCGCTTCTCTGTATTTAGTTGCCGGATCGTCTTCTTCCGAGCTTCAGATCGTCAACGCTGAACGCAGAGTGAGTGAGCTTCCATTTCATTTTGTGTAGAATAATCGGATTATGCGGATGAATTTTACCTGAATGTTATCTATCTGATTGTAAGGATTTGATACTCCGCATTCGTTTTAGATTGGGAGTTTCCAGTCTGATTTCATACGATTCACTCTTAATCTCAGTTTTTTTAAATGTTAATTTGCATTTCGCGGAAAATGAAAAGAACATTGATGATTCCTAGCTTTTATATGGTTCACTCTTAATTTCATTGTTTTGCCAAATTTTTTAGTTAAATTATCAATAAGGAATGTTGTAATTTTATTCTGGATTTACTATAATATTGAGTTTCTGTGTGTGCAGGTAGACCTGACTTCTCACATTGTTCGGACTTACCTGACTTTGAAGGTATTTCTCCAATCTCTGGAAGTGATTTAAATCCTGAAGTGCTCAGATTTCCTATTTTCTCTGAAGTTTATTCGTATAAGTATCCAGCAAAATAATGAGATGCCAAGTGCCAACTAGCAAGATCCCAATTTGATCCTTTTATACTTAAAATTTCAGGTTGAAAATTTAGGAGATTCTCCGGCTTTGGAAATCCTTCTCTGTTTCCCACCAGAACAAGCTGATCATCTAGCGGTTGTAAAAGCAGCAGCCGTGTCTGGCAAGAAGAAAAAGACATCTTATCTGCCACTTGAGGTGAAGCAAGCTGACCGTCCTGATGGGCCAAATGGAGCTAAATACTATTCTATATCTTTGCTTAAGTCATTGAGCAAAGGCGAATCTGTCTCCGTCGAAGTACTCTATGTGCTCACCCATTCGCTTGCACCTTTCCCAGTAGAAATAAGCCAGTCTGATCCGCAGCTAGTGTACTTTCATGATAGTGCTATAATACTATCTCCGTATCTTATTAAACAACAAGTTACATTTATAAAGACACCAAGTGCTAAGATTGAGTCCTTCACAAGTATGGAGCCAACTGATCATGCTGGGGCACAAATAAAGTATGGGCCATATGAGGAACGACCCCCATATTCTTACTTTCCCATAATTGTTCATTTTGAGAATAACAATGCATTTGCTGTTATTGAGGAGCTTGTACGTGAAATTGAAATATCTCACTGGGGCAGTATCCAGATAACTGAGCATTACACTTTAAAGCATGCCGGTGCTCGGCACAAGGGTGTTTTCTCAAGGTCTGCTTATTTGCATAATTATCATTAATTATTTAAAATAATCTTCTAATGTTTCTGAGCTGGAAAAAATTGTCAAAGTCCAGCAGGATATGCTGTCTATTTAATTAATTATATTACAAGTTTCTAACTAAATCTAATTAAACAGCAAAAGTAGTTGGAGCTTCAGTCTTGGGTTGCGTTACGAACAAACAAGCACATGTTCTTTTTTTTAATGTTGTTTTAAAAGGCTTGATGTATAAGTTAACAAAGTTGTGTATCTTTCTGTTAATGTTTTTATATTACTTGTTGTCAGGGTTGATTACCAATCTCGACCATCTCAGAGTGGTGTTTCATCATTCAAGAACCTCCTTGCCGAATTACCTCCTAGAGTTCACTCAGTGTACTACAGGGATAGTATAGGGAACATTTCTTCCTCTCGTTTGCGCACAAATGCAAAGAAGGTATCTCACATACTGCTTTTCATCTCTCTCACTTACCGTTGTAAGCTATTATTATACCTCGCCATTTTTTCTTCTCTAGTTTATTTCTTTAGATGGAGAATGTAGTAGTAAACCAATCAGATGTAATTCATTAACGCATTAGGTGAGGACTAAGTTTGCCCCATGATTATGTTGTTTCTACAGCTACTTAGCATCTTTACTTGTCAATTTAAGATACTTTTCAGGTATTTTTTTAAAGGGCAGATTGTGAAAAATGGAAAAGTTTACTCGAAAATGTATTCCTGTAATTTATATGTTCCATTTCCTTTTGCAGTCAGAGCTTTTGATTGAGCCACGATACCCTTTATTTGGAGGTTGGAAAGCCACCTTTGTCTTAGGATATGTGGTTCCATTGAATGACTTTCTTTATGAATCCGCTAATGGTGATCGCTACCTAAATTATAGTTTTGGGCCCCCTCTGGCAGAAACTGTTGTTGACAAGATGACCATCAAGGTGGGATATCTGATTTTGGATTGTTTATCTTGTTCTTCTTAGTATTTATGCACATGTACAGATAAATTATGCTGCGGTTATGTATTTTAGGTGGTCCTTCCAGAAGGTTCCAAGAACCCATATGCTGTGGTACCTTTTCCTACTGAACAGAGATTAGAGGTAGCTTTAACTTGAACAATTCCAAGAAATCTGCTTTACTGCTAAAAGAGACGAATGACTTTTATAGAACCTACAGTAGCATTTTTTAGAGCAAGAACAGATGAAGTGAACGATTGCCTATTAGATTCATTCACATTATATACTCTTTGACAGAAGTATTATTTGAATATTTGCAGAAGAAATATTCATACCTTGATGTGGTGGGGAGGACTGTGGTGGTCCTGGAAAAGAAAAATGTAGTTCCTGAGCACAACTCTCCTTTCCAGGTGATTTCTGATATTCCATTGCTTCTGTCAAAGCACCTAGTATACTTCGTATTATTATGCCCAGTCCTTCCACGCAAATTAAAAACCTCGTTATAAAAGTCTTTTTTTGCCTCTAAAGAGTCTTTTTTTATAAATCAAAGCTAGTGTTTATGTGATTTGTCATTTGCCAAAGAAAAAACTTATAAGCAAGTTAAGTAAGGAGTATATTATAAAGTTAGGATTGCATAAGTTGTAAAAGTGGCGCCTTGCCAAAATTTAAGTTGAATGGTTACCAAACATGAGTCTTTTTTTGGTCAAGTCACTGTTGTTGAGTTACTTCTCGTAGTTTCCTTGTGTAAATGTCTATTCAATTAAAATAAGGACAAAGACTAAGTCCCTTTTTATTCAAATTTTAATTCTAGTTATTCAAACTTTAGACTCTAAGTTCCAATTACCAACTTGAGACATCAAACTTTAGTAAAAATTAAAACAATATTCAGACTCCAGTCTCGAGGCTCCAGACTTGGACTACCGTTAAAATTAAGGAATAAAGAACATGTCCTAACTATGATTGTTGAATCCCTCGCTGCTATGCCAGTTTTCTATACTACAATACCGAGCATTACATAATTGAGAGAGCTAGAATATTCTCATCCCTCTATTAATTATAGGAGCTGATAACTAGGGCTTGTTTGGAATGATTCATCATCCGCGGGAATTAGATGTTAGACCCTTGTTCGGAATAAAAAAGGTTGAGAATTAGGAGATTATCGGCCATTCAGAATTCCTGAAATTACACGAATCAGACATTCACACACCCTTTGTTCACTACCAATGGAGCTTAAAGAATCATTATTGAAAATGTTTTAGCTATGGGTAAATAGTAAACCAAATCAAAATTGCACATTAAAGATTCATTATTAATGAATCAGATATTCACACACCCTTTTTACCAAACCAATGGAGCTTAAAGAATCATTATTGAAAATGTTTTAGCTATGGGTAAATAGTAAACCAAATCAAAATGGCACATTAAACTTGCTGAATTTCTATGAAGTTTTGGGTAGTAAATTTGGCAATGCATCAAGGGTGTAACAGAAACAACATTTTGTTTTTTTGACAAGGCTGTCTACGTCTTGACTCACTAGACAGCAACAGAGATGAGATTATACTGGCTTTGTTGTTATACATGAAATGCACACCCTCCTTTCATTTCCTGAAAACAACTCTTGGGTTGTGGGTTTATCTAATTCTGATTAGTTTAGTTTTGACCACCAACGCATTCCAAACTACGCAAAATATCATATGCGTTCTGGCCCAATCAATTATTTGGAATCAGAATCTATACAAGTGCCTAGCTTCATATTTCTAACATTTACTCCTTGGTGTTTGATCCCTGCAGGTTTACTACCAGTTCAGCCCAATTTTCATGCTTGCAGAGCCACTGATGTTGACTGGCGCCTTTCTCCTTTTCTTCTTCGCTTTTGTTACTTATTTGCAAATGGATCTCTCCATCCGCAAAATCAAGAACACATAACGGTAACGTATCACGACACTTCTTCCACTAGTGGGGTCAAAACTCTCTAGATTCAAGGTAGAATACATTACAAAGTTGATGATGAAAACTTATCAATCAGTCTCCCCGGCCCCTTTTATTGGGAGAGAAGTCACATTCCTCATTGTCTTTGTGATATATGTAACGACGTCATATTACAGGTGTTCTTTGGGAGAGTAGAAACTCATTGTCCCGGCTCCTTCTTGAACCCAATAGTCATTTGCCCCCTTGTGGGTAGTAGATGATATTAATGACATTTCTCGCAACTCAATGTTCCTCTCTTTCATATCAAACTTACCACTTCTAATTCTTCCGTTGGGAGTTCCCGAAAGAAATCTACTCTTACCACGTCTAATTCTTCCGTTGGGTCGCTATTTTGAAGTAGTATGGTTAAAGTCTACCCACACTAACCCTCCCCAGATTAATTCTCAAAGCTCTATGCTCCATACTCGAGTAGCTTCCTACATTGAATTGTTACCAGTATACTAATTTTTGGGATGACAAAAGGGTAGTGATAGTCAGACACGCTAAAAGACTAAGGGGGGTGTATTCAATAGAGATTATGTAGGAGTTTTTTGTATTTTAAAAATCCATGAGTATTCAATTAGGATTTTTAAAAATCATTTAAAATCTCATGGTATTGATTTTGGATTTTAAAATGTTCTTTTGAATCTAATGGTATTCAACATTCTATGGATTTTCTATGATTTTAGTAAATGATGGATTGTAATGGATTTTAAGGTCATTGGTATAAATAAAAATCTTTCAAAAAATCCTCTCACAAACCTAAAGATTTTGAGAAATCTCTCCCGTTGCACACTCAGGCCTGGATCTCCATCGCTGAAATTGAGAAATCCTCTCACAAACCGCCATTGCTAAAAACCTCGAGAGCTCTTTGGATGAAACAGACCCAATTGGAAGTGGAGTTTTTAGCAGTCCTCGTGCATTTTGCCCCACCCGTTTAAGTAAAAATCGGATTTCTTTTTCAGTTTGGTGTGAATTTCCTGGTTTAGGGTTTATTTTATTGGTGTGATTAGGATCGAATTGAAGGGAGATGTTGGAAGAGAGGAATTGGTGTGGTCGCCTCTCTCTTACGATTCGGTTCCTTTTCTTATTTTTTTAAAAATCAGTCAAATTAGGGTTATCCATCTCAAATGTGTTTGATGTGTTTCTTTGCTCCATTTTCATTTTATTTTAATGGTAATCGTAAGAGTACTTATCTATTTGCAATTAATATTTTAATTACTATAATCAATTTTTTTAATCAATTATTGATTTAAAATAGTCTATTGACTTTTTGGGATCCAAACAAATCCGAATAATAAAATATAATAAAATCTATCCAACTCCATGTAGAATTAAAACAATCCATATATTTTATGTAATCCATTACCTATGAAAAATCTTACATAATCTTTAAAAATCTGAATTGAATACACTCTCTTAAATACACATATCAACTAAATACACCTGGATGCATTCTTATATTTTTATTTAAAAAAATTAAATAAACTTTATTAATTTAACAATAGTATTATAAATAAACAAATTAAACTATCCATCATTTATTTCATTTTATTACTTTTAAAAAGATTATATAAATTTACTTTTTATTTTAGTTTTTCATTTATTAAAATGCTCATAACTTTCATTGTTAATACATTGAATGCCCATTGATTTTGTATAAAACCTTCTATTTTTTAAGTCTTATACCAATATGCATTTTACCATTTTTTAAAACCTAAATAGTTATTTTTTTATTAGAAAAAGGTTACATAACTTTTACCTACAAAAACTTTCTACGGAGTATAAATTTTAAAATTATTTACCATTATTTCATTTCATTTTTTTCCAAGAACAAATATTTATATAAATGTTAATAAATATATTTTTAACAGATATCATATATAATAATTAAAAATATAAATGTGGAAAAAATTATAATTTGATTCAAAATGTAATATGATTTTATCATTATGCATTATCATTATTCAAACTACATCTTTTATTTTTAAAAGATATCATATATAATAATTAAAAATATAAATGTGGAAAAAAAATTATAATTTGATTCAAAATGTAATATGATTTTATCATTATGCATTATCATTATTCAAACTACATCTTTTATTTTTAAAAGATATCATATATAATAATTAAAAATATAAATGTGGAAAAAAATTATAATTTGATTCAAAATGTAATATGATTTTATCAAGATATTTATTTGAGCTCATATATCAGTTCATATGAGGCTTGGCATTAAAAAAGTTTAGAAATCATACGTAATTAACTAGTGGAGTGAATTTAGACTTTTTGAGTTCATATATGAGTTCAAATGGTTTTAATATTTTCGACCTATGGTAGGGATTCTAGTCATTCTACCGAACCATCCTTATCTAATTTGTTCCATATAGATATAGGCTTTATTTGGTAACAGCTTTTTCAATTGGCGTTAGCGTTTTAGATAAAAATTTTATGGGGTAGTTTAATTTTGAAAACGCTAACGCTAAAGGCTACCGTCGGATAACTTTTTCAAAACGCTAACGCTAATCTCTAACGCTGATGTCAAACAGGGCCATAACAAACAATGACGTTTAGCATCCATTCTTTTGGATTAAAATTTCGGATTTGGATGTTAGAACAAACTGAAAGGAGTTGAGATATGTTGGAAGAATTTAAGCGTTAAAACGTCACTCAATTGAATGATCACACAAATATATGTGTAAGAAAACTCGGATTTTAGATAAAAAAGAATTTATCATTATTTTTGTTTGATGTGGTATCTTGTAAATTTGGAAATATTATGTTATTCTATACTCATCATATATAAATACATTTTTAAGTCGTTGTTGGAAGAAACTGGAATGAATTGGAAGGAACTGAAAGAAGTTAGAAAAAATTAGAAGTTTATATTTCTAACCAAAAGAACTGAGCGTTAATGAAGTCGATTTAATCACATTTTTTCACCATTTCTATGCTAAGAATTGAGTTTAAGTAATACAGAAAAAGTATTTTTGTATTGATTTCTATCTCCCCAGTAGAAATAGTAATATTTTTTTATTTCTATATCTCTTTATGATCCGAGTATAAAGGAAGAATCAAGTTTTTTAAGAAAAATTTATCTAAATAGTACTAAAGTCTAAAACATAATGTCTTTTACATAAATAGGATCATATGTTTTTATTTTCCAATGTAGCACTTTTAGTCATTATCCATTAGTCATTATTCAAGTAAATGTTCAGTATTACTGGACATTATTCCTCCTTCTAGACATTATTAAGTGCTATTTAGAAAATAGAAAAGTTTAAGTCTTACACTGAGAAAATAACTTATGTTTTAGTGCTATTTAGTGCAAATATTTCTTTTCTTTTAATTACAACACATAAATTACCATAACCATTTTCCTTATATGATCATAATTATTGAGAGGTTCTATAGTGGATCTAAATCTAAATGGACATTCTCACACAAATTTTCTTTTTTTTTAAAAAAAAATACTTATCTCAAGATTCTCAATACTTAAAAAATGTTTATCTAATAAATATGAAGGTCCATCATATACACAATAAACCTTAAGTTCAAGCAAGAAATTGCCTTTTTTTATAACATGAATTCAAATTTTAAATTGTGGAAGAAAATAAATACAAGCAATATAATATACTTAACGGGCAGATATATATATATATATATATATATATATATATATATATATATATATATATATATATATATATACATACATATATGTATGTATGTATATATATGTGTGTGTGTGATTTAGATAGTCAAAAAAAGGACGTACAAGCTAAGCCAAGTAGCCAACCATCCAAAGTGGTAGGACAAAGAAATGCATCATGGACGCAAGACATAAATTATTTGAATTGCAATAATGGATTTGATGCTTATCATGACATTTCAAGCTTACAATTTTACAATATTGTTTTATCTTAAGCTAAGGTTTCATTTTCTTCTACTTAGAAAAAAAAGTCGATCTATTTGAAAAGACTTGTTTATCTCATTGTCTAAGTTGACTCCCTTTGATACTCTCTCTCCTTATAATGTTTGTCCACTTTTAATTTTTTTCGTTCAGAATTGGTAAATTTTGATCTTAAATTAAATAAAAATGATGTGAGATATTGATACAAAAATAATTTAAATAAATTTACTATTAACAATATTTTTAATATATTATTTTATCTTATATATATATATAAACACGGAGTATTTTATAAAATTTTGATATTACATTTATATCAAAATAAATGTATTTCTTTTTATGCATATCGAGGTCTATGTTTATGTATAAATTTTGATAATAAAAAAACAGAAAGATTAAATTTGAGGGGAGTGAGTATTAGTTTAATCTTTTTATTCAACCGCTACTAGAAATTAATGTGTACTATTTCAACAATTGAGCCTCTTCCTAGAAACCTGGTCCACACGATAAGGATTTGCCTAGTAAAAAAATGATGTTATTATGGGACAAAGTAATGAAGGGTTCTCAACTTTTAAGTGCAAAGAAAGATGTGTAAAATCTGCATACACACATTTAATTTGAAGGATAATTTATGTAAATATTTCTTAAACATATCACTACTTCGTAAATATCATCAGTCTTATTTATTAGAACGTTTAACAATGAAAAATTCTAAAATGCACTGTCTTTGAAAAATTTTGAATCATTTTAAAAGAATGGCATATTATACAATTCAAGTAGAATAAGATATTATTATAAAATAATTTGAATAATTATTGAAATAATTGAATATGATATTATTAAAAAATAATTTGAATAATCATTGAAATAAGTGAAATTTGCACTAAATAGGACTAAAACATAAGTCATTTCCCATCTAGGACTTAAAACATTTTTATTCCCTAAATAGGACTTAATAATGTCTAGTGGGAGGAATAATGTCCAGTAATGATGGACATTTAGTTGAATAATGACTAATAGATAATGACCAAAAATCCTACATTGGGAAATAAAAATGATGGATACCCGGGAATGGGGGTATCCAGCCCAGCAGGAAGACGGCCCAGCCCAACTGCGCCAAGGCCCACTTGGCGGGACCAAGACAAAATACCAGCGAAGAGCGCCTCGGCAGTACCGTGCACTCGGCCCCGGCAAGGTAGGTCATCCTCGGAGCAACCAAGGCCAGCCTTCCGTCCAGAGGTTTCCGACGACAGGTCAGGCGATCGACCTCGGCCCTGAGCAGCGACAGACCAGACCTAGACAAGGGAGCTAACTGAAGTCAGGATCAAGGGGTCCACGATTAGACTCCTGCCATGCCTCTAGCAGAGTTGCTATAGCCACCCTACTTGTAACCTACTTTGTGTAGCAGT